ACAGTAGCGCTTCAGAATATAGTTCATGGAACCTGCTCGACTGGTGCAGACCTTTAGACATGCCCCTGAAGCTGCTGACAGAGCAGCTCGTAAGTATTAGCGATCCATCAAAGTGAGATTCAGCGTACTTTTGTCATCGTGTTGCTAGGCACCGAGTTCGCTTCACTTTAGGAAAAAACTCTTTTGAGTTCCAAAACTGCATAAACTTGTTTAATGAAATTGGATAGAGTTCGAGTCGTGCTAGATATATTTCAACATTTTTACCATGAGGGACTAGTAAAACGGTAGGGTTTAAGATCTGCTTAATCTTTAAGGTTCTTTTTTGGTCGATAAAGCAAAACGCATAAAACTTGATCACCTTCATAGGAAGTTTGCTGTCAGCTTCCAATTTTTCACGTGCAATGCGAACTTGCTCCAGCTGAAGCGCGACTGTTTCCCGCGTGTCCTCCTAAATGCAAAAGAAATTATGCCAAGCGTGCAAAAAATAAAATGCACAAGAAAACGATCAAAATATGTCGAAACAATGAAAATGTCATATTTTTATGAAGTAATACTACGATCAAAATACTGCTGGAAATGCACTACGCAACAGGAAGCATCCGACGCACCAAATCATTATTGATCCAGGTTAGATGCAGTGTGGGTTATTTGCAGGTCGACTATATAAAAGTGCCTGCTCAGAATTAATAACTAAGCACCTTATAAAGGCGTCACATTGCTAGTAATCCCTTCGTCAAAAACTCATCACAATTAATTCATAAACAAAGAGTGAATAATGTACCTATTTACAGGTTCGTTAACGTAACATCCGAAACACGAAAACTTATTTCAGCTGGACTTACTCATGCGAGAAACACACAGAACATGCCTGTGTAGTCGAAAAAAAACAATGTTTGAAACTTCCCTGGTTTCTTCTCCTAACCCAGCAATCTGCAGCCGTTTAACGAAAGTCCATAAATACACTGTTACAACTGTCTCTGCCGTTCACCTAGTATGAATGAAAGAAAATTCTTCAATGGCAGAAGAACCTCAGTATAATGAAGCTGAAAATACGCACATTACCCACGTGGGTGCAAAATATCTTAGCTACAAATATCGTAGATTTATTCCCACGTTCCAGAAAATGACTACAGACTGGACGAAACCGGTGTATCCGTAAATGAATTAGCAAAAAAACATGGACACATTGCAGAAGAAATCACTATTAATGACTGCGAATAAACTGTAAAGACTAATTATCTGACTACTGGAAATATGATATTTTGTGCCCTGTTCTATTGCATCAGTTATTTTATTTGTTATCTTGCGAAAATTAAAGCTGTTCCACAGAAACACGGGCATCCAAAAGTAAAACAAACCCCCAGTTACCTGTTACGCACATATCTGCTGAGTCTAAGCAATTTATTTAGTTTTTGACTGTCTAACGACTTCTTGCTTATTGGACTGACTATTTGTCAACGTACCTAAACGCAGAAACTCCTTTAGAACTTCGACATGAGGATGATTTTGGTAGCGAGTAGACAACGAAATGTAACCTGACAGTACAGTCTGCTTAATGACAGTCACAAGAGAAAATGTCTGTAATAATTGCTTTGATCTAAGGAGAGACACTTTGAAAGGAGCATCGTTCACAATTTGCAAGAGATGAAATGAAACGCGCACTGACTATCAAGTAAACGTAGTGAGTTCAATTAGTCAATACGGCTGCACGGAAGGTCAAGATTTACATGTTCATGTGAAAATGAAAAAGTTATTTGTCAGTCTTACCGGAAGCCTCTTACATGACTTTGCCTTCTTCGACTCTAAAGACGATTTTGGGAAGTTGGCGCCCTTAAACGAATAGCGCAATCTGCGATTGCGAGCCTTGCCCTCGGCGTCGGCGTCAATCTGTAAAGAAAGAAAACGAAGTAACCTAGAAAACAGTAATGCCTGCAATACCTTTCTCGTTTTTTCTGATGCAGAACTCAAAGACCGATAACGCATCTTAGTGGCGTTCGACGTACGACCCGGCAACAACTGAGAGATAGACGCCCAACGTCCAATTCCAAAAAGCTTCACGCCCAGCATCAGCGTCTTGTCTTCCTCTTCCGTCCACTGCCCATATTTTATGTCCATGTCCA